CCCCCCCTCCTCTTAATCCGCCACTGCTTTTCGTGTCGACGAGCAACTTTCTCTCTGTGAGGTTATTTTAATATCTGAAAAACAAAACGTTAGTCATTTTGATGTTGCAGCTGGGTGCATAAAACGCCACACTTAACTCGGGTGTCACCTTGACACTGAAAAGAAAATTCTACAAGAAACAACTTTGTGGTAGGCCACGGTACAGATATTATGGCTCAGACCTGTTACATGTAGGCCTATAGGGCCTACATATAGTGATTTTCATTAAATTTGTTTGGAAATATGAAGCCGTTTTTTAACGCATAATGGTACCAGATGTTGTAGTGTGGTAGGCCTACACCTTTAACATTGGTGTTTTAATTTATAATCGATTGACCTAGATCAAGGTAACAGCCGAGCGTACCTGAACAGAGTCTACACTACAGGCTTTAAGGCCTTTCCCAATTCAAGATTATGTTGAGTTGATAGATCAGCCCGGACATTTGTCTCTTTTATCGAGCGTTTCGATGTGTTTTAATGCACACTAAAAATACTCTCTACCAGGGCGACGGATTGATTTTTCACGGATACTCACAGATATGTTTGTACATAAACAGACAGTCATTTTGGGGTGGAATTTTCCGTTTTTCCCTATATAATCTGCCACCCTGGTAGGGGGTACACTAAAAACGGGGCATTCAAAGGCTTAGCACCTGGGACTTAATGAGGGTGTACCCACCCAAACCCAATAAAGAGGTGCACTCTCCTGGAACCATGAATAATAATAATAATAATAATAATAATAATAATAAAATTCATCGTCTAGCCTCCAAAAAAAAAAAAGCATGTGTTACTGTTACTTGTGCAAAACGTCCAGCTGTGAAACGTTTTACTCACTTTGAAAATTCAATCATCACTGGCTTTGTTCTTTGATTTAGGCCTATCTCCTACGAATATAAGTTGTAAAAAATTATGATAATCATCTGTATAGAGCAGTCAATTGTTTTTGAGCGACGTTAGTTTCCTTGTCACTGAATATTTTTAAAAACGGGAAACACCCTACCGACAGTAAAATAAGCATTAAATAAACCATTTTCCACTCGTGGTCTAAATACTATATCAGAAATGTCAAACTATTATGGAATCACAATATATTTTTCGGTCTGCAGCAGAAAACACTATTTTCTATTGCACAACGAACTTGGACAAAATGAAACTTTCTGACATTTTTTTCTGGGGAACATACGTTATGTAGTGTTAGCTGCTACGCAAAGCCCCTTATTTGAGTTACAGCTTAAATATTTATAAAAACATCCTTACGTCATGTATAATTTACCGTGACTGAATCACTACAAAGTATGTTGGAACGCGGTATAAATAAAAATTAAAAATAAATGACCCCGAACGCTACGTTACCGGAACATACGTTATAATTTAGGACTCTAAATACATAATGTAAATATATGGTAAAAATAAAAAATTAAAATAAAATTGAAACGGTCGCGAGTTTTTGTTTTAAAAATTGAGTAGGGGGCCTACAACTTTCAATTCATTCAATTTTATTTTTTGAACACTTCAGCATATGAAATGCACCTCTAAATTGGGTTTGGGGGTACTATGCCCAAATTTGGAATGAAAAATTCCATTAAACATGTTGTTCCCCCGATCCGTGCACTTAGCATTTTGAGTGCACAACTAAGGCATTTCTTGTCTTTACAAAAGAGACAAAATGGTAGGACTTGCCTGCCTGTTCAACGTACTTTCATTTTCGAAGTTCAACCCCACTAGCTGTTGAAAACCTACATCCCATGCATTCAAAAAGGTTACTTACACGGCATGTAGTGCTCATAAATTATACGTTGACTGAGGGGAAAGAAAACAACTCCTGATGAAAAAAGAAAAAGGACAACACATAAGGCCTACATTAATCTTCAAAATATTTCTGATAACCCCATCCCCCGCAGTCTCCGTATGTTTCCACGATGCTCATATTGTTCTTGCTCTCTGCCTTTCATAGACTACTTTGCCTTGCGGATGAAAAAGATTAATGAAAATTAACCCACATAACATAAGTCTTAATAATAGTTCCAAGGGAACGTGACACCTTACAAGTACGTGAAGAAGTGTGTATACGTGGTAGGCCTATATTATTTGCGGAAAAACAAACACAGACGACCTCAGATTTCTGACGCAATTCAGCTGATGCAATCGATGGGATATTAAACTGGTTGGATATCGGATACAGTAATAGGCGTACAGTCGAATTAGTTTTTTTTTCCGTAAGGATACAGTGGGAGAACTAAACGTCGGCGATGCTGTATGCGGCCTAAGATTTCTGACGCAATACTGGGATATCTGATGCAATCAGCCAGCTAGAGGACACATTTCCTTGAAGAAGCTCGAAGCGTGCGGCTGTACGTTTTAAGGTGGTCTAGCGCTTGCTTAGTTGTACACTTTAAGGTTAGTCGCACACATATTGATTAACATATTTTGCTTGATCTCACTTATGTGCTACTTTCTACACTGTTCATTCATCTCTGTGGAATGTCAGTGTGTTATATCCCTGCACGTGTTATTATTCACATCAGCCTAGTTCATAATGGCGTAATAATTAATATTTTAAAACGGATGCTGATGCTAGAGAAGAAGAATACTGGGTTATTGTTTGAGTGACCCTGTACGTTTGGTTACTGCGTTTTGTGTAGACTAGCTAGCACTGAAACATATTTATTTTTATGCAGCCCCTTGCTTCAGATACTTTAAAACAGCGTTGCATTTGTCAATAAAACGGGTACGTCACACTGCCTACAGGGGTAATTGGTATGCATCGTATGCACGTGTCTTGCCAAAATAGGTATGTCTGGCGATTTATAAGTAGCAGATTTTGACTTTGATCATTCAAGTTTTATTTCAAAACAGCGAAGTTAGAAATATCCATACTGAGGTAATACTGGTGGCCTAATTTGTTTAGAATTGAAAAAAAAATTGCCATAAAAATTATACCTAGGTCTATAGTACCTAGTACCCTGGTCTTCATATTTTTCAAATTTGTTTTTAACTTCAAATAAAATTTTGAAAATAATTTTGAATATATTGATCAGTTTCATTTTTTTTTTTCAGTAGAATACATATATACATTTGTTGTGTACAATTTGGCTCAGCACATGCACTAGAAACCAACATTTTTTTTTTTTTGTTTGCAGTCTGTGAAGTTAACCACTGGCCCAAATGTCAATACCTGTAAAAATTGGACTAGGCTGGTGAAATTTCTAAAAAAGTCATCCACTGGCCTAATTTTTTGAAAACCCCATGTTTTTGTTCTTACTTATAAAAGGAAGCCTGTTTAATCTCATTGTGACAATTTAATTTTTTTTTTTTAATTTGACTAGGTCCAGTGAATTTTGGTTTGGGCCAGTGAGAAAATTCTGAGACCCTAGTGGCCCGGATGCCCTGCTTATTTAATAGTATTTGGCACAGACTAAAGTTGACCTGGTGCACTTTAATATCAGCTCACACTACACTGGATTAATGCCTAGTAAATGCCTTTTATTTCTATAATATTCATTCATTGAAACTTCACTGAATAATTAGGCCATCCTGTATATAAAGCAAGCTACAGTACAGGCTGGTAAGTATACTGAAGAAGGGGTGACAATAGGATCAGTCATTGATAAAGATTCTGTCCCTCCAAGCCCTTTCCATGTTTTGTTGTTTTTGATTAATATTATTGGTGTAGAAAGCAAACCTTTCGTGTGACCTGGATAGGGAGAATATTGTTTCTATGTACACTTATACAAACTTTTACATCTGTACCTGTTCAGGTGAGAGCAGGCCCACATCAAGAGGGTTGAAATACCAAGATGAGAGTATTTTGAAAATCATTGATGTCCCTGACATATTAGCTCGATCTTTTTCGCACATAGAAAATATGTGAACGGGGTAATTATCATACCTTGGCTTTTTTGTCCCAAATGTGCTCATGAAGTAAAGCACAGTTGCTGAGCTTACTTATAATTGTGCTTCAATTTGGTGAGCCTTTCGATACAAACTAAAATTGGCCAACTTAAATTTTGTGAAAAGCATGTATAATAATAGGACCATATAACATACTGTTACATGTTCATGTTTACCTATGCATAGTCAAAATGTTTTGGTCATGAAAATCAATGAATTTTTAGATTTATTGGCTTAAAACTCACTCTTAAATAGGTCATATTGCTGCCTGAGTTTTTTTTTTTTTTTTTCAATTTTATTTTTGTAGTTTCAAATCAAGCAACTGAAAAGAAAAAAGAGGAAAATGAATTACCAAAAACAATTTCTGAATTCTCTATATTTAATTTGTCAAACTGGTTGACTTTGACAGGATGTACCTGTAGTCATTTATAAATTATATGTGCATATAGGTATTGTTCCTCCTTCGATCCCCTGTCAGTGATATGCATGAAGAGATTCCAATGTCTGCGATCAGACAGTGAGACCGTAAGGTCTTCTTTGTCTGAAGTTCAACCAAGGTTATCTAACAGGTTATCTAGTGCTCATGTGGTGATACCATTCCATTTGTATTTTGACTTCATGCTGTTTATCATAACTGGTAAAGAACAAGCAAACAAACAAAAAAGATGTTGTGTTCATTATGAGTGTTGATATTATCTTGCTTTTGAATGAATCTTTGATAACAGGGAAATGATCCTGTATTGTGTCAATTAAGTAAAATGGTTGTTCTTTCATTGCCTGTTGGACAGGTATTAAGAACAGCATTACATTTAGCAGGAAAGATGACATCTTGTTTTTTTACATGATTGGTCTTAACCATGACAAAATGGGCCCGGTTCAAAATATATATATATATATAGGTATGCCTCCAAGTATCAAGATTATAAAGTTATCAAGAAGTGTGTATTCTGGCTACAAATTAATAAAGTTTGGCAACTGCATGAATACAGTGAATTACATGTAGGTTAAATTGGAATTTTGATAATATTGATCAAAAGTGAAGATAATAACTATTAAGGTGAAATGTAGGTTCAATATATTTCTCCCCGTTTTTCTTAACAGTCTATCATTGAATTGACAAAAATTAAATGGCTGATATGAAATATGGTCATGTAAGCATTATGCCTGCATGATAGGTCTTTTTGTACACTGTCAAATATCAACAAAAATCATCAATTTATTGAACTAAAGGGACTTTGTTTGAAATAAAAGACAAAAGGCAAAAGCTTGTCAGTTCATGCCTTTTTCCCTTTTTTTCAGATCAATCACTTTTCTAAGGACAATTTCTTCAGAGATGTCAGAGAACAAGATTGTGGTGTTAGCCTACAGTGGTGGGTTGGATACATCCTGTATATTAGTATGGCTGAAACAAAGAGGATTTGAAGTTGTTACCTATATGGTTAGTGCATTTATAATTACATAACATAGTTGTCACGGTGGCCATGTGTCACCTTCCACAGAGGAGACTGAACTCCCATGTAGGCATATGGCCACCTGGCTGTACTGGTGTATTCACCACAAGTCTTCTACAGTTATATTTCACATTGATTCAGTTTAGCTGATTTTTATGATATTTTTATGACAAAAAAAGTCTGGTCCTTCAAATGATGTAGCAATTAAGTAGCCATGGAATGCTCTGTCTGTACAAGTAGAATAAATACAAAATGGTAAGATGCAAATACAGTGAGGTCTTTGCATTGGTGTATTACAGGCTAATGTTGGACAGGATGAAGATTTTGAGGCAGCAGAGAAGAAAGCAATGATGCTTGGGGCCAAAAAGGTGAGGGCTCTTTTTGTTTCAAGCAAGGCCTTACATAGAGATCTGTCCGGCCATTATTTTGCAGTCTTTAGCCCTCAAAAGACGACCTGTATTTTCAAATTAAGACAATTTTTTTGGAAATGTTGGGTTTGTTTTGGTTAGACTCCTTGTAAATCGCTGACCAAATTATAGATTCACATTTTGGATTCCCTGTACCCCAAGTCTTGGGAGAACCCTGCTATTGAGAAGACATCATATATGTTCCAGTTTAAATGGGTCAAAAATCATGTACAGGTTTATGGATTTATATGAACATTTTTACATTGCTTTAGCTGACAGAGTAATGAATAAATTTGTGAAGTATATAGCAGTTGTCAAAGTGTTTTCTCTTACATGTACAATGCATGTTTTATATTCCAGTTTGTTTGTTTGGATGTGCGTAGGGAGTTTGTGGAGGAGTTTATCTGGCCAGGAGTTAAGGCAAACGCTGTGTATGAAGATCGTTACCTTATGGGCACAAGCTTTGCCAGACCTTGTATTGCCAGGTAGAAACTATAACATATTTTTCTTAAAATTCATATTTTTAGATGATTATGATGGCAAAGTAATGATTCATAATTTTTAGCTTTGTTATGTTTTCTTGTTATTCATTTGTTTTAACAAATCTGTAATATCCAAAAACTAATATACAAAATAAAGTAAACTAAATAAAATGATAATTTCAGTACTAAGCATAGTTTGTGAATGAGATTTTACTTTCAATTTGAACAAGGCTTTTCCATTTCACACAAATATTGAAATTGAGCTTGTATGTAGTAATCAAAATGCTTTGCGATTATTTAATATACGTCTCTATGTTGTTATAATACCAGAGGTATGGTGAAGGTGTGTAAGGAGGAAGGGGCTGGGTACATAGCCCATGGTGCAACTGGCAAAGGCAATGACCAGATACGCTTTGAACTTTCCTGCTATGCTCTCTACCCACAGGTTAAGGTATGATTAAAAAAAAACATAATTACATATAGACACTAATTTTACTAATATTGTCATGTGTAACTGTTCAGCTATGTGCTACTTGTACATGTGTATACAATTTTAAGTCAATCTTATCAAACAATGATTGGAAATCAGTATATGACTATAAACAAGTATAGCCTAAGTTACAGAACACTATGCTCTGCCGTATTGCCTGTTTTATTGATCATTCAGTGACATATATGTAACTAAAACTAACAGTCATACTGGCATATGCCAGTCTTTCAAGGCTGAAAAAAAAGAGCCCCCAATAGATGAGAACAAATTACTGGTAATAATAAACTAATTTTGTTAAATTTGTATTCCAGGTAATTGCTCCTTGGAGAATGCCAGAGTTCTATGAGAAATTCAGAGGGCGCCAGGACCTGTTTGAGTTTGCCAAGGTATTTATTTTAGGAACTACTAATATTTTTTTCAAAGTTTTGAATGTAGTCCAGTCTTAAAATTTAATTTCATTTTATTTCATTGTTGATTACTACATTTACCACCAAGTGATAATATGTAGTCTGCATAGTGAATCTATGAGTGATCATCTCTAAGCACATCTTTCTTCAGGAAAACAATATCCCTCTCCCTGTCACTCCCAAATCTCCTTGGAGTATGGATGCTAATCTCATGCACATCAGGCAAGTCAGTCAGGGATTAATACAATGTAGAAATAAAAAGCTTATTGCCAGAAGATTCATTTTTCAGTTTGGTAGGAGAAATCTGAAAGTTTCATTAATTTATTGAAAAAGTATTTTTAAGTAAAAAAAAATAGACACAACGAAATATTTTTAAGTTTGCAGACCTGATGACTTCATTAATCTGACTTAATATTTACTTCAACTGAATATTCTACCAAAAAATAATAGTCAGTATTTAGTAAACTAATAAAAAGTGAATATAGACAGCTTATCATGTCATTAACCTCTCATTTTAGTTTTGAGTCGGGAATTTTAGAGGATCCAAAAGCTGAAGCTCCAAAAGACCTGTATCTCATGACAACGGACCCTAAAGATGCTCCTGAACAGCCATTGAGACTTGAAATTGATTTCAAACATGGTAAAATTTCAAAGCACAAAAGGTTGCATTCCTAATTATTGTTAAATTGAAAGATACACATCTAGGAATCAAAAGTGAGAAATATATTGCATCTTTTTCCTAATATCTCATTATTTTCACAAAATTATGTGTAAACTTTTGATCCCTTATAATTATATATATTTTTTTATTGTGAGGTTGTAAAATATGGCCAAATGCATCTATTGAAAATAATTTGATTTTTCTTAATCACAACACAATTTTCTTTTATTTAAAATCAAAGCATGCAAGACATCATTAACAAATCTAACCTTCTCTAAAGTTGATTAATTTGAATATAATGTGCACACGGTTATTTTAAAGTAATATGTAAATACTTCTGAAGAGATTTATATTCACAAACACTTCTAAGTTTTCAGACTGCACAAATTACTAATAGTTGCCTTACTTCCTCTTTGTTTATTTGCTGCTGTTGACTAAATTTTTCTCCGTTACAGGTGTGCCTGTGAAAGTGAAGAACTTGGAGGATGGAACAGTGGTTACATCTGCCTTGGAATTATATCTCTATCTCAACAAAGTAGGGTATGTAAAACTTAAGCATTTAGTAGATAAACACTATTGGATATCTGTTATTTTACTTCATTGAATTCTAGTCATGGGCATATAATACATGTTTGTACTTAAGAGTGATCTCCTGAGTGTATTTAACTAAACTACTTTGACAGAGAATTGATTGTCGGTATTAAAACAACTTTATGCTGCTCATTTAAGTCTGGAAAGAGTGAAAGACTGTGGCAGTCAGTGCACACACTAAATATACTTTTTCTGTTTGTACAAACTGTATATCACTTGCCTTTTTTTGGATATTAGTTTTCTTAACCTTTATGATTGCATGGGTTTCCTTGGTGAAGGAGCAACTGAAATATAGTCAACTGTGATAGAATATTTTCATGAACACTTATATAAATATTTTCTGTTAAAAGTATCTAGGTCAGTTTTGTGGATAATAGAAACATTTCCTCAAATGGACTTTCCATAGAGAAGAATAAACTACTGATTGAACTTTCAATAAACTCTACACATAGAAATCCAATACTTGGTCTTCCTCCGAAATACTCGGGCACTTTTAAGTAACTTAGTTAAAATGATGCTTTTCAGTTCACGTGGAAAATATTGCCTATTGGTCTGACAGTGTTTCTTGTTAAATTGTTGAAGACTTTTTGGGAGTTCTATAAGCATGTTTTTGTGTTTTCAGTGGAAGTCATGGCATAGGAAGAATCGATATTGTAGAGAACAGATTCATAGGAATGAAATCTCGAGGTATGTTACTGGTACATTTTCAGCAACTGCTCTTAACACTTTCATTTTTTATACTTAATATGAGTACTAGCAAAAAATGAAATAATAATAAAAATCAGTCAGACAAAATTATTGCTGGCCTGTTATCTTTTAGATGTGCTTGTATCAGTCAAGTTTTCTCTTTTTCTTTCTAATTTTGTACTTCAGATGTGTAAATTACGCTTTTCTCTTTGTGCATAGAATGTCTAGTACTAGTACATGGCTTGTCTATTGATTACCAGTGTTATAAAAATATTATTGATTTTCTCTAGGGATCTATGAGACCCCAGGTGGGACCATCCTGTTCCAAGCCCATATGGACATTGAGGTGTTCACAATGGACAGGGTAGGCAAATTTCTCTAAGATATTCAGTTGTAAACATGGGGGATACCAAAATTATTTATTATTTATTTAGAGTCAGTAGATCAGGGCTCCTGTGCCAAATATTGAGGAGATGTTGACACTCACTGACCGCTAGGTGGTATAGCGGCCAGGGCCCTCTCATAAATGTCAGGTAGATCCCACCCCCTGTGTCTCTATTCATGGGTGGCTGGTGACGGCTGATGTTGATAGCCTCTTGTATCCTGTGCGGGATGTTGGATGACTCAGATTCAAGAATCTTGGTTGAATTCCGATGATTTTCATAATGTTTGGTGCTTTAATGTGGCATTTGTGCTGACCAGTTCATTTGGGGAATGAAGGTTGTGCATTATTAGCTATTGAAAAAGGCCCACTTTATCCCACAAATAATGAATTTTGTGAATAATTTACGTTATACCTATTTATCTACAAAATAATTGTTACTGTGTGGACTATTATAATCAGAAGATGATGTACTTTGATTTTTGTATTTTTAGGAATTGCGAAAAATCAAACAGAGTCTAAGCAGCAAATTTTCAGATATGGTGTATAGAGGTAAGATTCAAAGTATTATATAGCATTATTTTCTTTTTGAATTTGATTAATGGATTTTGCTAAGTAGTTCATATTTTTTGTTTAGATTGAGTCCAGCTATAAGTGTACCTTAAGTTTTTACAATCATATTGCAACAATGTAACTCTCCAACATTGTGAATAGTAAGTGTGAGGTGTATATTTTTGCAGGCTTCTGGGACAGCCCTGAGTGTGAATTTGTCCGCCACTGTATAGACAAGAGTCAGGAGTGTGTGGAGGGGACAGTAACACTAGCATTGTACAAAGGGGGCATTTATATTCTAGGACGCGAATCTCCACTTTCCCTCTATAATGAGGAATTAGTAAGGTACAGAGGCTACTGTTGACATACAGTGTTTATTTATAAGTTTTTACTTCTCGGTAGTATTTTTCATGGCAATTGAATAAGGTGCTTCTGCTTAAATTTGGTGCCCCTGAATTAGGAGATTCATAATCGTAAAATTCATTTTTTACACATCTATCTAAAATTTCATTAATAAGCCAAATGATATCCACTGGCTAACTGAAGTATTATATATAAAGCTGATGACAGAGAACCCGGAGTCACTATTTAAAATTATCAGCATTGGTTGAAGTTTACCAAATATCATGTAGAATACATATTTATATAAGTGTTTCTGTCATATTTTAGCATGGATGTCCAGGGCAACTATGACCCTATAGATGCTGGAGGCTTCATCAAAGTTAATGCTCTTAGGTAACAACAAGAGTGAAATAACAGCTGCTGCATTAATTTTATTCACTGGCAGCCACAGGGCCAGCTCTCTATTTCTCTTTCTGAATTTTTTTTTAATTTTAGGCATTATTTTAATGATAAGTTATATGCAAAGAGGATGTTCATGTATGCATTTTGAAGAAAAATATTCTTGTATCCAAATGATTTTGACCATTTTGCTGAAACTCCATACATCTGTGTAATTTGATACATTAATTGTTACGACAAGCTGAGTGGTCATTAACTTCAAGTCTAATTTGTTCTAGCAAAGAAAAAAATTAAAATAATGGATTGATTTTAAAACATATAAAATTTATCAAACTATTCACTGACCATTAGATCATGTACTGTTACAGGCTACAAGAGTATCATCGCCTGCGAAAGAAGATGGGGGCTGAGCAGAATGGAAAATTAGGCACTGGTGACCAATAAGTAAAACCAGCAGCTGCAAGTTGGAGAATTGGACAGAAACCCTGTGAAGGCTTCATTTGTACAAGTACAACATGTAGTGACACTTGCAAGAGATTCAGTTCACAAGACTTCTGATGTGAAGAAAATATGAAAACTTATATATGCTGATATCCAACAGGATATTTACATCCATGCTAAAATATGACAGAAACACTTATATAAATATGTATTCTACATGATATTTGGTAAACTTCAACCAATGCTGATATCCAACAGGATATTTACTTTAAAATACTTGCCTCTCTGTTAGCTCATTGGATGCTGCAGTGTTTTTGTTGTTGTTGAAATCTTGTAGTAAAAAAAATAATGAATTACATTATTTTTATTTGCTGTACATCTCTGAAATGACATTTTATTTGATTTAAAACATACTTTCAGTTATGATCAGCTAAAAAGAAATGAAAAAAAAAAACAAGGCAGCAAAGCTGTCAAATGTACAGACAAAAAACAGAAAATAAAGATGCAAAATAGGTCATTTTGTCAATTTTGATGCAATAATAAATAATGCTTATAATAGCACTGTCAGTCAACACTGAATTTTAATCATGCACAACAGGTAAAATGGTCAATAACATGAGCGGACCCAGAGATATTTTCTGACAGTATTCCAAAGTATCTATTTTGATCCATCCTCCATTTTGATGGTCTTCCAACAGAAGAAAAAATAGATACCAGGCAATATAAACTTAATAACCTGACTGTCTTCCGGAAGNGATTCAAAATTTTAACTGGATTTTGCTTTTATGCTAATAGTGGAGTATAAGCCAACAGGATATTTACTTCAAAATACTTGCCTCTCTGTTAGCTCATTGGATGCTGCAGTGATTTTGTTGTTGTTGAAATCTTGTAGTAAAAAAAATAATGAATTACATTATTTAAATTTGCTGTACATCTCTGAAATGATGTTTTATTTGATTTAAAACATACTTTCAGTTATGATCAGCTAAAAAGAAATGAAAAAAAAAAAAAACGGTCCATGTGACAGTACTTTGAATTCATTTTATTTTGGCATGCAATGCCAATTATTCATTTTACTGCTATTGCTTTGCATTGTGTTGGGGCCATGCCTTGAGGAGTAAATTCATTTTAACTGCAATCAGTGAATGAAAGCATATTTGACATTCCATTTGATCTGATGTCTGCTTAAGAAATTGTGAAAGAACTTGTACATGGAATGCAGAAATGTTGTTACATGACATTGTACTGTGACAAGGGAAGTTTTATACAGTTAAAATTTTATATGTTGCAAGGTGCACTGTACAATGTACATAAAGGTTATGTCATAAGGGTCTAATTTGCAAAGCTAGAAGCCAATACATTCTTTATCCACAAAGGTCTCGTGCTATTTTATTTATTATTATTTTTTCTTTGGCTGTTTTTGTTTTTCTCTTGACAGTTCATAGATCAAAATTATAGGTAAGGTTTCAAAAAAACATGATTAAGTTGTTTCATACAACAGTATGTTTGTTGATATCAGAGTTCAATAAATTTAAAACAAGATTTAAGTTTAGAAATCTGCCTTATTTTTCCTGTCTTTTAAAGTACTGGTATGACTGGCTTAGCCGTAAAATTTTTGGGGCCTCTCTGTAAGGCTGGGGAGGAAAATGCTGACCAAATCTCATGTATATAACTTTCACAAGTGGCAAAAATATATTAAGTATTCCCTTCACACAAACAAAAGGAAATGGACTCACCAAACCTCACAGATTTAATTTTGTTATATATTGGTGCTAAAGGAAATCTGCTGGCATTTCCATTTTGAAGTTCTGCATGTCACTAAATTGATTTCAGCAAATAATTTTCTCAATACTGCACTGGTCCCAGAATTGTCATTCTCAGCAAGTAGTTATATAGCAAACAATCTTGTACCTAAGCCTCTATTGCATCAATTTACTTTCAAAAGGTTTTTGTAAAGTACATGTGTAAATAAGTACTTGACAACAAAATCTAAGCTATGACACATAAAGAGAAGTATTAAATTTGGTTTCAAGTTCAAGAACTGGTCTTAATAACCACTTCTAAGTGTTTAATAGTAAATATCCAGTATTGCACTCATCCCTGAAATTTCTATGTTACATGTAGTACTGGTAGATTTACTGCATGGTGATAAACATTTGTTTCAATTGACCACCAGCCTTGGACAAAATCACATATTTTGAGTAAACTCAGTTCACTGAATTGAATATCAGCTGTCAATGTCAAAATCTGTCACTGAGGAATGTTCAGTTCTGGGCGAGCTTGCAATAAATTTTTATACATCTTGGCAAACCAAAGATCAATGTGTGTACCGGCTGTCATCACAATATTAAATCTATTCTGTGGCATGATTCCCTGCATATGGGGTATTTAAACAAGATCAGCTCTGTACGAGCTGATGTCAGTTGAACATGCTACATGCTTAATTACACATCAATAAGTAGTACATGTATAGTATGCAAGTCAAGGACCACAAAGCTTAATGGAATGTTTTCCCCATCTTTATCTTTAGATACTGCACATACTGTATTCATGTTTCTTCAGTTTTTTCTGAACTGTCCTGTTGTTTGTTAGCATCCCCAGCATTTTGGTCTATTGCTACAGAGCAGTCTTGCTCAGTGGAATCTGCTTCCATGTCTGTCTCTGTTTGCTGTTTTGCCACAATCTCAGTCTGCAATTCTTGTCTTAATTGCCTATTGGACTGTAGCAGTTCTAGCATTTTAACATTAAGTTGGTCATTCTGCTGCTCGATACTGTCCAGACAAGAGTCTAACTGGTCAAGGGTGTTGTTTATATTCTGATATTCTGTAAGAAAATATGAATTTAGTCTAGATGTTAACCCAGATGTTAAAAAGCAGAGCATTTATTTTTGAGCGAAATGTATCTGCATTTACCATTCATCTCTTTGGTACAAGCACAAAAATGCACCACAGTTGGTTTATGATACAATATGAATATTGAACCCCAGAGTTAGTGAAACTCTGGTTTCAAAATAATGTTTTGTAGCAATAATATAAGTCAAGTTTACAGTTTTCATAATCACACACTTCATCACCTCTAAACAGAAAACCTAGCTATATACTATAGTGGGCAATAATCATTATTTGCAATACAATGCAGATATCCAACATCATATAATACCATGAGCATATTCTTCAATGGCTTGCTCCAGTGTCAAGTCGGGTTCCGCCTCGTTTTGCCCATTCAAATCAATGCCGTTTGTCTCCCTTCTGCTCATCTCGTGTTGTTTCTTTTCTTTTACTGGGGGATCCTCACATGATAAATTGACCTAGTTAAGAAGAGGAAGTGACGTAGCTTTGCATTTATTGAAACCTTCAAAAAAATATTTGTTGCAATATTTTGACAAAAAATCATATTAAAATTAATTAAATTATCACAGGGCTGTCTAAAATTCTTAATGACACTGCATTTTCATTTTTTTTTCAGTGCGGGCTTACCTCTTTTCATGACGTCAGCATTTTTTACCGGTGCCCTAATACTACCGCCATCTTGCTGTGAGCTAACTGAGAAGAAACCCAGGCAAGTAAGTATATCCTCAATCATCGTGTTTTTCAAAAGACAAAAGTTTCTTTGTCGTATTGCATTACGTAAATTATGCTTAGGAAGACTTAGTGAAGTTAAAACGGGACCTTAAATTTTGCAAAGAATGGTTCTTTTTTGGGTAAATGTCTCTGGTCATTTGGACTTTGTGGATCTAAAAAGTTTTGCCTTTGTCAGCAGTTTCTTATTTTGTGGTGTGTAACGATTGCTGGATAGTTTGACCTGCTATAACAGTTTTACTGTTTTCAAGTAAGAATTTCTAGTAGTAAAATTCTTCAATCATCTTTTGTGACTTGTCCCTTGTCTTTGTTTTATTTTGTTCGAACAAAGAAATTTGCTTTGTCAATCTAACGAAATCATAACTAACAACCATAATAAAAAAATATTCGGTTTTTGATTATTTACGCCGTGAACTGTTTGATTTCAGAAAAATTTCTAAAAAAATCACTGAAAATGGCAGAAGAGGCGGAAAATGAATTGTTGGACTACGAAGAAGAGGAGGCCGACGCCACCACGGAGGCAGCCGGTGATGCCCCTGTGAAGAAAGACGTGAAGGGCACCTACGTGTCCATCCACAGCTCTGGGTTCAGAGATTTCTTACTGAAACCAGAACTGTTGAGAGCTATTGTAGACTGTGGTTTTGAACATCCTTCTGCAGGTAGATTGTGGCTATATCTATTTCAGATATTTTTGTAACAAATTACATTAAATTGCTTTTATATATGCTCCTGTATATTTTGATTAAAGTTCTATACAGACAATTGATTAAGACGTGAAGAAAAATAAAACTTCATACAAGGTATCCTTTCGGTTGTTAAAGTTGCAATTTTTCTAGTCCTCATTTTACTTATTTTATGGTATCGTCAGGTTTTCTTTAAATTTATGACAAATTCTATTGTCAGGTGACAAAAGAATTTACACTGTTCCATTATATCTCTCCAGTCCAGCACGAGTGCATTCCTCAAGCTATCTTGTCTATGGACATCCTGTGCCAGGCCAAGTCTGGTATGGGAAAGACAGCCGTGTTTGTGCTGGCTACACTTCAGCAGCTGGAACCAGTGGACGGACAGGTAAGGACGGTGATTAGTACTTTGCTGTGGGGTGAATCTGCCAATATTTTACCCAATTACCAAGATTTGTGAACATAAACATTTTGTATTTTCTTTAACCTTCTCAATTTTTCTGTAACATTTGTGGAAGGTGAGTCAAAGAGTTTTTTTTTTTTCTCGTTGTTGACTGCTTGATGTGTATTAAGGATGATAAATAGTAAAGATTTGTTTACATAATTTTAAACTTGTCCTTTCAGGTCTCAGTACTTGTAGGCTGTCATACGAGGGAGCTGGCCTTCCAGATTAGCAAGGAGTATGAGAGATTCAGCAAGTACATGAGCAACATCCGGGTCGCTGTGTTCTTTGGTGGCATGCCCATCAAGAAGGACGAAGAGGTTCTGAAAAAGAACTGCCCCCACATCGTGGTTGGAACCCCAGGACGTATTTTGGCCCTGATTCGCAGCAAGGCACTGAACCTGAAGCACATCAAGCATTTTATTCTGGATGAGTGTGATAAGATGTTGGAGCAGCTTGGTAAGTGGGTTTGTTATATGATAAAGGAATACCTGGTGGGGTTAACTTCATTGAAGAAATTTGTTTTTTGGCAATCATTGGTGAGGTGTCTGTTTAGACTACTAGGTTATTTAGTGTTTCAGTGCTACTACATTTTAGCTCAACTTGTGTAACAAGTGTCTTTCTTTATTTTGATATGTTTGCTTTATTGAAAATTCCTTGACATTTCAGACATGCGCCGTGATGTGCAAGATATCTTCAGAAACACACCACATGAGAAGCAAGTGATGATGTTCAGTGCCACCCTTAGCAAGGAAGTCCGTCCCATCTGCAAGAAGTTTATGCAAGATGTAAATATGTCCACCAAATCTCCATCTACCTGTCTCCATGGTTTGGCAACTGCCGGCTGAGGAACACCCCCGCTTCTGCATTTACAGCAGAGGAATGTCCTTTCTCGCTCCTTATAAGTCCTTTGAGCTGTAAAAGATGTGGAGATGCCAGGTCTCCGGCTGTCAAGCTAAATGGCAGAGGAATACCTCTCTATCCCGTGCTAGTTTTTTGTCATTGAAAGCCTACAAAAGTGCCACACTCAGGCGTTGTTCCACTTCATATGAAATCTTCGCAAGGCTCTCTGCTGCTGAATTTTCTGAAATAATGTTTGGTGCTATTTTGTGTCAGAATTTTACAAAATCTAAGCCGATCATGAATCATGCATACAGATGCTTCTGTATGTTAGGAGGACTGTTTTTTAATCTGTGAGAGGAGTCCTTATGCTTAGAGACAATTGAAACCCAAGGATCACACTCCAATGCAGTGAAATATTCTCACTGCCAAAGCCAAAGATGCTGATGGAGTCGCATTGCCCTTAGTGTAGGGAATTTTTGCTGGGTGCACGATACCCTGAGCTCTCAAAGCGATGGGCTATCAGCACCCATTAGTATAGGTTTCCACCGTGGAAAGTTCCCTCCAGCTTAATTTGCACATCTAAATTTTCTTTTGAGCTTTTCATGCTCAAGATAATTTCATTTGAATACGAAAATCTCAAAATTTACAGCAGAGAGCCAGCAACCATGTTCTTGATATGCAGCAAAATGTGGACATTGTTCTTATGGTAATTTGGAGAGAGAGCTACTTCGTCGGGGTCATAGCAAGTGCATAATCTTCAGCCTCTCGTTCAATACCTTTAGTGGCGCGCACCAAATAAGGATCACCAGAAGCTCTTGTCTTCCCAACCCAGAAGAACCGCAGCACTGGCATAGGTCGGAGCTTGCCATAAAATGTTCCTCTGGTTACTTAGCTACCGTTCAATAATGTGATGGCCAAGCCAGACCAAACAAGGTGACTGTATGTATCCGCCATCTGATGAGGAGTTGCCACTGCCACCAACCACTTTGAAGAAGACCTTTTTCTTAACTTATTTAGTAGAATATTGTTATTAACTAGAGGAAGTAGTGTTACACATTTTCATTACTTCTGGCTTCAAAGTAATTACCAAGATGATAAGTTTATACTTTTCTGATTTAGTTCATGCTGTACATGTATTTTGGTTTTTCATGCGATTTCCCCACCCTTGGTTTTATGGGTGGGGCAGCATGCTGACATGCCTTGTTTTGCCTCTCCTTTCAGCCTATGGAAGTGTATGTTGATGACGACTCCAAACTGACATTGCACGGACTGCAGCAACACTATGTCAAGCTGAAGGAAAGTGAGAAGAACAGGAAACTCTTTGAACTCTTGGATCTGTTGGAGTTCAACCAGGTGAAGATTTTTCCATCCTTCATTAGGCCTATTAAAAAAGACCCAATTTCTAGGTTTTCAGGGGCTCGTGTGCAAGGAGTTTAACCTCTTCACAGCAACCTTGACCCATTTTCATTGAATTTTTAAAGTAAAAAAACTTTTTTTCTCGATAATTTGTAATGGGTGGTCAACTTTATTAACATAGTTGAAATAGTCAAGTGAATAAAAATGAAATAGTAGGGATTCATTGAGGTATGTGAAATGAAATTTCTTGTTTGTATCATTGTTAACTGTGCTTTCACAGATTGCTCTTCAAGTGTCAGTGATGATTTTTTTCACCATCTTTCGTTTGAAGAATTATGTAACCAAAACATGCACTACCAACTGAGACACTGAAATATTTAATGAGATTGTACTTTGGTCCAAATATGTCTCATGATATAATTATTTGTGGAATGTTTCTAATGCTATCCCGGTTGATTCCAGGTGATCATATTTGTGAAGTCTGTCCAGAGGTGCATGGCCCTGGCAGCTCTCCTAGTGGAGCAGAACTTCCCAGCTATTGCTATCCACAGGGCTATGACACAGGAAGAGAGGTAAGCTAGACAGTTGTGCAAGGCCCTTGTTGACTTCTGGCAAAAATTGAGCCTATGTAACCTATTTTATCCTACAGATTTAGTTTGGTGATGAGTAGTGAAGCAATTTTGACTTTGTTTAATGAACCTCTCAAGATGTTTGTTCTCCTGTCTTCTTTTGAATAACAGCTGAGTAATTCAGGATATGATCAGCCTATTTCTTGTTCTTAATAATAGCAATTGTTATAACCTATTCAAGTTTGCCATGTGTGTTTGTGTTGTTTTTCAGACTGTCTCGGTACCAACAGTTCAAAGATTTTCAGAAGAGAATCCTGGTGGCCACCAACCTGTTTGGCAGAGGGATGGACATTGAGAGAGTCAATATTGTGTTCAACTATGACATGCCTGAAGACTCTGATACCTACCTTCACAGGGTAAGCTTTCACTGTCATTCAAAACTGGATGTTTCATCACAGACTGATTGTACACAAATGTCATTTCACAATGTTTGAAGTGGGATTTGGATATAAGAGGGATGCATTTGACTAAGCAGCTTTCAGGGATGGCCGTTTGTTATTGTACCACCAGCGTAGGCGCTGGCGGTACTCATGGTTTTAGTCCCGACCCGTATGTTCCGCCGGCTCCGCCGGCTCCTGCGGCTCCGCCGGCTCCTGCAGCTCCGCCGGCTCCTGCGGCTCCGCCGCCAAGTCACCGTTACCGCTTCTCCTCCTAGACGGTAAGGGCCTCCATACCCATCTCTTGGATTTAGGTCACCTATAATCTCAACTCGTTCCACGTAAAATTTGGGCTTTGTCGGTATTGGGGTCTAGGTGTGGCACTCATTGCAATGCACCATTGTCCAAAAATGGCAAAATTAAATGCTAAGTATCTCCCCTACGGAAGGAATTATGGGAAAAATTTCTACAGACAGCTTTCCAAAAGTCATATGTGTAGATTTCAAATATGCCCTTGGATTTGACCTTTGACCTTTATTTCAAGGTCAAACGGGCCAAAATTTTCAAAAAAACAAAATTTTTGCC